CCTCGCGCTTTATTTGCCAGACAAAGCGGGATGGGCGGCGGGGCCGAGCGGGGGCTGTGGGGGCGCATCCCCCCCCCCCCCAAGGGAGGCCGGGCGGGCGGAGGAGGGACGCGGGCCCAGCAGCCCTGGCTGAGGGTCCGGGGGCGCCTCTGTGGGGCTGGGTTCTGGGAGGGGTGGAAGCGCACGAGGGCCTCCCAAGCCCATACACCACCCCCACCTCCCATCCTGCCCCCACCCGCACCGGGCAGGACCGGGCAAGAGCTGCCGCCCCCGCCAGGCCAGCGGGCACCCACATGGTCTGTCTGTCACACACTCTGGCACACACAGCCCTGGGTCACACATATCGAGATGTAGATGTGCACACACAGAGTACACCCCCAGACACCCCCATCCCCCCAGCTCACACAAGACATACCCAGGCACACAGGGCTCACACACTGATGCGCACATACAATCACACGTGTTCACACAAAGTGTGCACACCGGCCCAAGGCCTTGCACATGCTGTCTTCACACACCCAGACACATACCGACACAGATCCAAGGGCATGCCCAGCTCACACGTGCAGATGGGCACATCCAACCTATGCACGGCCACACGTACACACACAGACACCCAAATACACAACAGACCCAGCCTGCACACATATGGCACATACGTCTGTACACCCACACACATCACGTACACATGCGTGGCTCACAGAGCCCACAGCTGAGAGAGGCCCTCAGGCTGGGTCTCATGGCCCCCAGTGTGTTTGCAAACACGCATCGGCCCCTATGGGGTGACAGTGTCCGGTCCCTGCTTGTCCCCTTCCTCAGGAGCCATGTGCCATATTGGCCCATGCTCCTGTCTCGCTTAACTCCTGTCTCTACGGTGTCTCCTTTTCTATCTCTCTGTCTCTCTACTTCTCTGTCTCCTCTCTCTGTGCTGCCTGCTTCTCGTTTCCTTTTTTTCTATCTGCCTCTGCTTTTCTCTATCTCCCTCCATCTTTCTATCTCTCGGTGACACACACGTGAACACAGTGGCTCCACAGCTGCCAGCACACACAATTCTCCACTAGCTCACACCCAGCCATGCCCCAGACCCGTCTGGCAGGACAGTTAGACTGTGCCACACCCCAGAGGGATACAGCCCTCAGGGTTGGGGACGCTGGACAGGGCAGTACATGTCTGGGGCCAGCTGCCCCTCCCTTCAACACACACCCTGCAACACCCAATGCTGGCGACGCCTGGGGTACATGCCCTGGCCTCTCTCCCCAGAGCCGCTGCATAGGGCTGCACAGCTGGAGAAGATGCCCAACGTCACTGGAAGAGAGGGAGCCATGGCCCGGGACTCCCTGCCGCTGCCCCCTCCATTACCCCAGGATCTGGGTACACAGCCTCAGACCTCCCTTTAATGCTCAGCACCCTCACTTCCTGCCTCTGCAACCCCCATTTTGGCCACTTCCTGAGCCCCCACATCTGGCACAAGTCAGCACCTCCTCTTGTCCGCCCCTGCCTTGTGGTTCCCAGGGCTCAAGCTGGCAGGGACAGCTGCGGCCCCAACAGCTGGGGCCAGGGTGGGGAGCCGTGGGAACCTTAGATGGAGGGGCTCCCTGCACCCTCAGAGACACCCCCCAGCTCCGTGCAGCTGTTGCCTGGAAGAGGGAAGGAGGGGGTCTGTCACTCTGAGCTGGGTTTCCTGGGCACCTGGCTGACCTGCCCACCTCTGTTCGCCCCCACACAGCTCCCCCTTGCCTGGATGGAAGCCCGTGTTCAAATGGAGGTCGCTGCACCCAGCTGTCCTCCCGGGAGGCTGCCTGCCTGTGAGTGCCTGGCTCAGAGCCATTCGTGGGCCCTGTGTGGGGAGGCAGTCTGTCTTGCCCCCCTACTTCTGTGTCCACCATGAATGCCTCTACTACTTCCTGCATGTGTGGCTTGGGCAACTTCTCGATTCTCCTGGAATCAGCAGGGTTAAAAGCAGGAGCTCTGACGTCTGCCTGCCCTGGCTTCAAATCCCGCATGTTTCAGACTGGCTGGGACTTCAACTCTCTCTCTCTCTTTAAATATGTTTATTGATTTTAGAGAGAAAGGGAGAGGGAGAGAGAGAGAGGAAAACATTGATGTGAGACAGAAACATGGACTGGTTGCCCCCCACATGCACCTGGACCGGGAATCAAACCTGCAACCTGGGCATGTGCCCTGACCAGGAATTGTACTGGCGACCTTACACCTTTGGGTGCACAGGATGGTACTCAACCAACTGAGCCACACTGGCCAGGGCGGGGACTTAACTCTAAATCTCAGTGTCCTATTCTGGAAAATGAGCCCAGTAATCCCAACCTCACAGAATTCTCAGCTGCCTGCGGTCATATGTAAAGCCCCTCATGGAGGTAGTTACAATTTTTTTTTCAATATATTTTATTGATTTTTTACAGAGAGGAAGGGAGAGGGATAGAGAGTAAGAAACATTGATGAAAGAGAAACATGGATCAGCTGCCTCCCGCACACCCCCCATTGGGGACGCGCCCACAACCAAGGTACATAGCCCTGACCGGAATCGAACCCGGGACCCTTCAGTCCGCAGGCCGATGCTCTATCTACTGAGCCAAACCGGTCAGGGCGGTAGTTATAATTTAATCAACAAATCTTCAAGGACCAATAGCAGTGGCTTGGGAGGGTACACCATCTGCACCCTCCCCTAGCTCAAGATTTCAAGGTGGGGGCATTGGAGGCCTGTAATACAGCCCAGCTCTGCCACTTCATTGCTGTGTGACCTTGGATTAGTCATTTCCTCTCCCTGAATCTCACTGCATCTGTGAAATAGGGGCTTGTCACCAGGAAGGAGCCCAAGAGTTTGGGAAAGGCAGAGGGCTGGGGGGAGTAGGGAAGAGGCAGGGAGAGAACTGAGCAGAGGCAAATAGCTCAGTTTAAATTCTGGGTTCTGGGTTACCTTGTGCAAGAGCTTTGAGCTCCCGGAGCCTCAGTTGTTGCATCTGCAAATTGGGGCAATAACAGTTCCTTATTTATGAGTTGATTGTACAGATTTAAATAAATCCTTCATACAATGAACTCAGCATACTTCTTGGCATACAGCAGGTGCTCAATACATAGGGCTTATTTTTATTAAGAGCTTTATTGACAGGTGCTTGCAGTTTGTTGACTTTTTTAAAAAGTTGTAAACTTTTATTTACAAACTAAAAATGAGGATCTTAAAAATCACAACTTGAACAGATATGAAACAATTTAAAAACGTTTATAGGTGAATTGAGAAAAACTAGGCTTAAAAAAAAAAAACCCCACCTAAAAAAAAAAACACACACCCATGTTTGTCATTACCAAAAAGAGACATCTTTAGGTAAAAAAATGCATAAAAGGTCATTGGGCAAAAAGCCAGCACTGAAGGTCTTCAGCTCCCATCTTATGTTCATTTCTTAATGCTGGAATTTCATATTCATTTCTTCTTGCTGGATGACTAAGTCAGATGTCACACTTTGGGTAGAGATGGTATTTACTCAGCCCGGCCTGTTCAGCCTCTGGAGCAAGGAATTCTCAGCCTCTCAGCCAGCAGATCTGCTGCTTTTGTCTCTGCCATCTTGTGGCTTAGGGTTTTCTGGGCATCTGCATCGGTAATTGAAGTTGCAGGGGTACCGGGACCATCCTTGCTCTGGCTGCTGACCTCGGGTCTCATCTCCTTGATTTCCTTGTCTTCTTCATTGCTGTCCTCTCTGGGCTGTCTTTAGTGAGGAGGGCCAATAGGGGTTATTATCCTATATAATAAAGCGCTAATATGCTAATTAGACCAAACAGCAGAATGACCTTCCCCCTGATGACCTTCCGGATGAAACCAGGGCTTCGAGGGCCAGCGAGGCTGCAAGGGCCAAGCCCCTTGCACCAATTTCGAGCACTGGGCCTCTAGTTATAAATAACAGCAGAGACACAGGAAGCAGGTGCCATAAGGGGGAACCTCTCAAGATTATGGGGAAATGCTTGGTTCCTTTTGTAATATTGTCCTTAGTAAGAGCAGTTCATCCCGTAGCCATTAATTAATTGATTTACTCATTTATTCAACAACATGTGACTTTAGACCCAGGAGAGCCGCTTTGAAGGCATGCACCCACTTTGAATGGAGGCCACTTGAGCCCATCTGGGTGGGGAGGCTTAGCCTGGCTGAGCGGGCTTTCCGGGTTGGGAGCCTGCAAAGGTGAAAATAGGGAAAAGTGGGAGCCGACCTGAAGCCACTCACCTGGAGGTGGAGCCGCGGGCGGGCGCCTGCGCAGTAGAGCTCCGCGCCTGGAATCCTGCCGACAGGTGAATGCGCCCGCGGCCGCCCCGCCCCTCGACAGGTGAATCACCGGCGCGCGTGGCCGCCCGGAGCCCGGATTCCCCGGAGTGGAGCGGACTCAGTCCCCAGAGCTGGGTTGTGGGATCCACTCCCCACGCACCCCCAGTCTCCTTACACGTCCCAAATACTCGCGTGCTTTCAGGGACGCCCCCCACACGGACTCTCAAGTCTTGCCCCCAAAGTAGCCTTCTAAGCCCTTGTCTCTGTCTCCCAGTCCTCGCCTCCCCTGCCCCCCCAAGTCAGCTCTCCCCTCCGTCTCCCCCGAAACCCAGGCCGTGGGGCGGGGCACGGGCGGAGGCTGGAACCGGCCCGACCGGTCGGCAGGGGCGCGGGGCACAGATCGTGGGAACCCGCCGGGGGCGCGGGGAGAGGGCCGCGGGGCGGCGCCCTGCCTGGCGGTGGGACCCGCAGTCCGGGGCGCCCCCCGTGCAGCGCGCCCCCTCCTGGCGCGCAGTGGTGGTGGCTGTCCTGGCCCTGCGGGCCTTTGAGGAGGGGGCTGGGAGCTGGCTTCTCCCCTCAGGACACCACCTGCGCCCCTGTCCGGCCATGTCCCGACCTGTTTCGCTGGGGGCCGGGGTGGGGGGATCTTGTGGGTGACGCTGAGGACTGAGTCAGCTGCTTGAGTTTAGCCCTAAGCGCCTGGAACAAGCCAGAGGGAGGGACCAGCGGGAGGGTGGGCAGCGTCGGGGGTGGGGTCTGGGTCCTCGAGCCTCTCCAGGCCCCTCCCTCTGACCACGCAGGAGATTTCCAGTCCTAAGAACCCCCACTTTTCCAGGTCTCACCTTTCCCTCACACTCCGTCCAGCTGGCTTTGGGGAGGGGACTGCGGGCTAAAGGACCCCCCCCCCTTCAGCCTCTGCCCGCCCCCCTCCGCTTATTAGTGTCTACCTCTCCCACCAGTGGAAAGAAGGGATGTATGTGTTCCCAGAAAAGGAGTAGATGTTTCGTGGGGCGCTTCTGTCCATCCATGTGAACGTTGCCCCTCTCTGTGGCCGGGCCTGTGGGTGTCTGAGCATTTGCCAGGCAATATGTGGAGTTGGTATGTTTGTGTATGTTCCCGGATCTGTCTGTGTGTGCTGGGTGCTTGTCCTCTGGAGTCTGAGACTAGTTCTCTCTGCCTGGAGCCCTCTTCCCCACACAGCCCATGGCCTCCTCCCTCCCGCCCCCATTCCTCTGTGCCCCTTATTTTGTGTCTTAGTTTCCGTTTCCTGCAGTTGCTGTGACAAATTACCCAAAATGGAGTGGTTTAAAACAACAGAAATGTGCTCTCACAGTTCTGGAGGCCAGAAGTCTGAAACCACGGTGTTGGTGTTGGCAGCCACCCAGCCACCCGATCTCCAGTGGCCTTAGGGGCGAGTCCTTCCCTCCTCTGCCGCCTTCTAGCAGCTCCGGGCTCTCCTTGGCTTGTGGGTGCAACACGCCACTCCAGTCTCTGGCTCTGTAGGGCCTTCTCTTCTTTCTCCCGAAGCGCCCTCTGCCTTTCTCTTAAAAGAACATTATCATTGGATTTAGGGCCCACCTGGAAAATCCAGGATGATCTCATCTCTTTTTAAAAAAACTATTAAAAAATATTTTTTTTATTTCAGAGAGGAAAGGAGAGGGAGAGATAGAAACATCAACGAGGAGAGAAAATCATCGATCAGTTGCCTCCTGCATGCTCCCCACTGGGAATTGAGCCCTCAACCCGGGCATGTGCCCTGACCCGGAATTGAACCGTGACCTCCTGGTTCACAGGTCGAAGCTCAACCACTGAGCCACGCCAGCTGGGCGAATGATCTCATCTTGATGTGTCACTTAGTTACATCTGCAAAGACTCTTTTTCCAAATAATGTCAGCCATAGGTTCTGGGACATGGACATTTCTTTCCTAGGGCCACCACTCTATACTATACCATGCCCTTCATGGCCATCATGCCCCCACCACCCCCTGCCAGCATGCTGTATACTGACATGTGATTTGTATATCTTCTCTTCCCCCAAGCTAGCTGTGAGCATCGAGAGGGTGGGACCACTTTTATTGTGTTTGCTGCTGTATTCCAATTGCTAAGAACATAGTAGGTACTTAGTGAATGTTGCGTGAGTGAATGAGTGTGTGTATTTATTATTGGTTTGCCCATGTGTTTCTTGCCTGTCTTGTGTGTATGTCTGTGTATCTCCTGCCCCCCCTGAGCTGTCTCTGCCTACAGGTGCCCACCAGGCTGGGTGGGTGAGCGGTGCCAGCTGGAAGACCCCTGCCATTCGGGTCCCTGTGCTGGTCGTGGTGTCTGCCAGAGCTCGGTGGTAGCAGGCACTGCCCGGTTCTCCTGTCGCTGTCCCCGTGGGTTCAGAGGTAAGGGATGATCTGGAAGGGGCCCCGAGGTAGTAAAGATGTGGTCCACCTAACTCACCCTCTTTTGGTCTCTCCAGGCCCTGACTGCTCCCTGCCAGACCCCTGCCTCAGCAGCCCCTGTGCCCATGGGGCCCGCTGCTCAGTGGGGCCTGATGGCCGCTACATCTGCTCCTGCCCACCTGGCTACCAGGGCCGCAGCTGTCGAAGTGACGTGGACGAGTGCCGGGGGGGAGGTCCCTGCCACCACGGTGGCACGTGCCTCAACACACCTGGCTCTTTCCGCTGCCAGTGCCCCGCTGGCTACATGGGGCCACTGTGTGAGACCCCTGCAGTGCCCTGTGCTCCTTCACCATGCCGTAACGGAGGCACCTGTAGACAGAATGGCGATCTCACCTATGATTGTGCCTGCCTTCCTGGTGAGGAAGCTGCTCTCGGGGGAGGCAGCAGGGGTGGGAAAACAGCAGGCCAGCCTACAGTGTCAATACTCGCCTCCTCCTCCCATGCTAGGGTTCGAGGGCCAGAACTGTGAGGTGAATGTGGATGACTGTCCAGGGAACCGGTGCCTAAATGGGGGGACATGTGTAGATGGCGTCAACACCTACAATTGCCAGTGCCCTCCGGAGTGGACAGGTGGGCACTGGGGCTGAAGGGAGCTGGGTGGCAGACCTTGGGGGGGGGATGCACAGCCCAGGTGATTGTACTGGTGCATCTGTGTGCCACAGGCCAGTTCTGCACGGAGGACGTGGATGAGTGTCAGCTGCAGCCCAATGCTTGCCACAACGGGGGCACCTGCTTTAACACCCTGGGTGGCCACAGCTGTGTGTGTGTCAATGGCTGGACTGGTGAGAGCTGCAGTCAGAACATTGATGACTGTGCCACGGCCGTGTGCTTCCACGGGGCCACCTGCCATGACCGCGTGGCCTCCTTCTACTGTGCCTGCCCCATGGGCAAGACTGGTGAGTGGCTGTTTCCCATGGAGGCGGCAAGGGAGCCATTGATGGCTCTTGAAAGGGGGCAAGGATGGCATCGGACTTGAGTGTTAGAATGATTATGCTGGAGGCCAGATATGGGGAGAAGGTAAGCCTGGGAGAGGCCTGGAGGAGGGGCTGTGTGTGGTACAGGACAGAAGCCACGGAAATAGAGAGATATACTGTGAGCAAGAAAGAGAGGAGACCCTTGCAAGTGGCAAAGGTCAGAGAAGGTGTTTGGAAGGGGGATTTGAAAATGGAGGGAAGGGCATGTCGGGCAGAGGGTGCTACAGAAGCAAAGGCTTGAGATAGGACCTTTGCATGTTTCCAACTCATTTTCAAATGATTCAGAAAAAGGATAGATCAGCCTTACAATAGCTGAATCTAGGTGGCGGGTGCATAAATCAACTTCTCTGTATGTTTAAAATTTTTCATAATAAACAATTAGGAAAAAGTAGCTACTAGATATGCTACAGGTTAGTAAAAACAAAACGTAAAACACTATGCGGGTCTGCGGGACCTTCGGACAGCGCCGGAGGGTCTGCCCTTGACCTCTGCCTGTCCCTTTCCAGGGCTTCTGTGCCATCTGGACGATGCCTGTGTCAGCAATCCCTGCCATGAGGATGCTATCTGCGACACAAACCCGGTGAATGGCCGCGCCATCTGCACTTGCCCACCCGGCTTCACCGGTGGCGCGTGTGACCAGGATGTGGACGAGTGCTCCATTGGTGAGGGGGTCATTGTCTGAGTTAGAAGGAGGGGACAGCTCGTTCCTCAGCGGGCCATACCTACCCTGGCTGTGCCTATTTCTGCAGGCGCCAACCCCTGTGAGCACCTGGGCAAGTGTGTGAACACACAGGGCTCGTTCCTGTGCCAGTGTGGCCGAGGCTACACGGGCCCACGCTGTGAGTCTGACGTCAATGAGTGCCTCTCCGGGCCCTGCCGCAACCAGGCCACATGCCTCGACCGCATAGGCCAGTTCACCTGCATCTGCATGGCAGGTGCGTGGTGGATGGGGTAGAGGCTAGGCCTAAGGCTGGGTGCCTGCAGGAAGGGACGGGGTGGAACTGGGTTCCCACTGGGACTCTGAGAAAGTGAAGCCTGGGATGAGGTGGAGGTGGGGCCAGAGTAGAACCTTGTGAGAAGCTGGGGGCGTGGTCAAGTAGAACCAATAGAATCTCCTGCTGAGAGTGGAGTCCGGACCTAAGGACCGGCTGTGGGGCATGAACGATAGCGGGGCAGGGGCTGGAGTGAGTTTAGGAGCCTGCAGACTTGCTGGGGTGTGCACAAGGCAATGTGGGGCCCGGGCCTGGGAGCTGGGGACAGGGCGTGTCTGTGGACTGGAGAGGGAAGAGGGTGGTCCAAAGGCAAGGTCCAGACGGAGTCTCAGAAGCCTTGGACTAGTTGGGACCACAGCTTGGTGAGGGTCCGGCCTGAGGACAAAAAGTGAATGTAGGGTTGCCCTGGGGGGAACTGATTGGGAAGGGGAGTACCTACCCCGTTGCCCTCTCCTCAGGCCAGAGGGAAACCCCACGACCCTAATATCCCTCTTCCCCCCCCTCCCCCCAGGCTTCACAGGCACCTTCTGCGAGGTGGATATGGACGAGTGTCAGAGCAGCCCGTGTGTCAACGGCGGGGTCTGCAAGGACAGAGTCAATGGCTTCAGCTGCACCTGTCCCTCTGGTGAGGACCTTGGGGCCAGGGAGCCTGACATAGGGGGTCCCTGCAGGGGCACAAGCTCCAGGGTGGGAGCCTGTGAGACCATGTTAGCGGAAAACGATTGCAATAGAAAGTAAATGGGCTTCCCGCCCAGACAAGGCAGAACCGGCGAGGGTGACTGCTCTGACCCTGTCTGGGCCTCGGCTCACCCCACTCCCTCCCCACTCAGGCTTCAGCGGGGCGCTGTGCCAGCTGGACGTGGATGAGTGCGCGAGCACGCCCTGCAGGAATGGAGCCAAGTGCGTGGACCAGCCGGACGGCTACGAGTGCCGCTGCGCAGAGGGTGAGGGCTGGCCAATTACAGGCCGGCAGGGATTTGGAGGCGGGGCTAGTGGGGGTGTGGGGGCCAATAACAGCCTTGGAAAGGGCTTCGGAGAAGAACTGCATCAAGTCAGGGCCAATGACAGCCAGGGGGCGGGGCCAATTAAGAACTTTAAAGCAGGGGAAGGGGCCAAAGCTTCTGGTGGGATAGATACTGGGCGCAGGTAAGTGTGCGAGGCTTGACCAACGCTATCCCAAGGCACCTCCATGTGTCCCCATTGGCAGTTGAGGGAGAGGCAGAACTGGGCTGAGAGTGTAGGCATTGGAACCGGGTTCACAACTGGGGGTGGGGTTTAACCATGGGAGGGTCTTTTTAAAAAAATATTTCTTTATTGATTTCAGAGAAGAAGGGAGAAGGAGAGAGAGATAGAAACATCAATGATGAGAGAGAATCATTGATCGGCTGCCTCCTGCACGCCCCCCACTGGGGATCAAGCCCGCAACCCAGGCCTGTGCCCTTGGCCGGAATGGGACCTGGGGCCCTTCAATCTGCAGGCTGACGCTCTATCCACTGAGCCAAGCCGGCCAGGGCTCTGGGAGGGTCTGGGTCCGGGGCGAATTGTGTAGCTTGTAGCTGGACGCAGTGGAGGCCACTAGGGACAGGGCCCGAACTGCCCCCGCTTTCTGCTGCCTCGATGGGCCTGAGGCAGAGCTGAGCCAGGTTTGATTGGGGGCGTGGCTGCGAGCCGGACCTGGGCAGGTGGGCGGAGCCTGACCCTCTGGCCCTGCAGGCTTTGAGGGCGCGCTGTGCGAACTCAACGTGGATGACTGCTCTCCCGACCCGTGCCACCACGGGCGCTGCGTGGACGGCATCGCCAGCTTCTCCTGTGCCTGCGCCCCCGGCTACACTGGCACGCGCTGCGAGAGCCAGGTGAACGAGTGCCGCAGCCAGCCCTGCCGCCACGGGGGCAAATGCCTCGATCTGGTGGACAAATACCTCTGCCGCTGCCCTCCTGGCACCACAGGTGGGACCGGGGGCTGGGCCGGGGCAGCAACAGTACGTCCGGAGGGTTTCGGGAGTTCGGGAATGGTGTTCCCGGCGCTACCCGTGTCTTGTTCTCCTTCTGCAGGTGTGAACTGTGAGGTGAACATCGACGATTGTGCCAGCAACCCCTGCACCTTCGGAATTTGCCGGGACGGTGTCAATCGCTATGACTGTGTGTGCCAGCCTGGCTTCACAGGTGGGCAAGCGGCTGCCATGGGAAGGGGGCCTGAGAGGGTGAGGGGGAAACCGCCCATCTTTCTTGGCCGGGTTTTGCCCCTCTCTTTGCACTGGGTTGGCCAATGAGATTGCCCACACCTTATGGTTTCTGTTTGTCACAAAGTTGTCCCCATATTGGCTCAAGTTTATCCTGGAACGTAGATAAGGCTGTTCTGATGGGGCGGGGGTGTTTCTGAGTGGGGCCAACGTGATCTTCGGTGAAAATGAAAATGACTTCATGTAAGTTTGGGGATGAAGATGACCTGGGGGCAGGGCAGCTCTGGGCTGAGGAGGTGGCTGTTCAGGTTTGCAGAAGAGCTGATGTGTTATGAGACGGAGAATGTCCTTGCTCCAGGGCGTCCCTCTCTGTCGGCTGGGTTGTCCTTGCCTTTGGATGAGGTGGCCTGTGTGCTCCCCAGGGCCTCTCTGCAACGTGGAGATCAACGAGTGTGCGTCCGGCCCCTGCGGGGAGGGCGGCTCCTGTGTGGATGGGGAAGACGGCTTCCACTGCCTCTGCCCGCCTGGCTCCCTGCCTCCACTGTGCCTGCCCCCAAGCCATCCCTGTGCCCAAGAGCCCTGCAATCACGGTGTCTGCCATGACGCGCCAGGAGGGTGAGGCCTTTTCCCACCTCATGACCGGACCCCCCTTGTCTTCGCCCACTTGCTGGCCCTGACTGCCGCCCCCTTCAGGTTCCGCTGTGTATGTGATCCTGGCTGGAGCGGCCCCCAGTGCAGCCAGAGTCTCACGCGAGATGCCTGTGAGTCTCAACCCTGTGGGGCTGGTGGCACCTGCACCAGCAACGGCATGGACTTCCACTGCACCTGTCCCGCCGGCATGCAGGGTATGTGCCCCCACTGTCCTGCCCAGGCTCTCCTGTCTCCCTCTTCCTTCTTCCTCCCTCTGCTCCACTCTCTCCCTCCTGTATGTTTGCCTTTCTTTCTTTCTTTTCCCCCCTTGCAGCTTGGGAGGTGGATATCAAGGTGGGGACGCAGGGGGGAGATGGGAACAAGGAATCTCTTAAGACTATTTCACTCTGCCCGCCCACCACAGGCCATCAGTGTGAGCTGCTGTCCCCCTGTGCCCCGAACCCCTGTGAGCACGGGGGCCACTGCGAGCCTGGTCCTGGCCACCTGGCTGTCTGCTCCTGCCCCCCTGGCTGGCAAGGTACATGAGCTTCCTCCTCCTCCTCCTCCTCCTCCTCTTCCTCCTCCTCCTTCCCTTCCCCTCTCCTCCCTGGGGACCCAGTGGGGGACTCACCCTTGACCCTGTCTCTCCGGGAAGCTTCCTTTTGGAAAGGGACAGAGCTGGACACAGACACTGGCAGCCCCTGTGGTCATTGCTAGAGAAGAAGAAGGGAGAGGTGGCTGGGGAAGCTCGGTTTCAGGCTGGGATCTGGGGACAGCTTCCTGGAGGAGTAAAACTCAGAGCATCCAGTCAGCACCCGCTTCAGCAAGAAGGCAGCCCTAGGACAGTGTGTGCAAAATGCCCAGAGGCCAGGGAGCGCAGAGCTCCTTCTTGCCTTCACCTCTCAGCCTTTAGGTTCTTCATGTGTGACAGGCACCTGCAGACCCTCCCCTGTACCCTCTAACCCCAGATGTCACCTTATTTCCCACCCCAGGCCCTCGATGTCAGCAGGATGTGGACGAGTGTGCTGGCCCCTCGCCCTGCGGCCCCCACGGGACCTGCACCAACCTGGCGGGGAGTTTTAGTTGCACCTGCCACGGGGGGTATAGCGGCTCTTCCTGTGACCAGGACATCGATGACTGTGACCCCAGTGAGTTCAGGGGAGCCTGCGGGGGGCGCTGCCCTAGGAAACATGTCCATTAAGCCTCTACTGTGTGCTGGGCATTGTGCTTTAATTTCATCTTCGTAGTTCTCTTATTTTTTCCATTTTACTCCTGGAACTGAGACCTAAAGAGGTTACGTGACTTGCCTAAGGTCACGGAGCAGGTAAGGGATACGTTGGGATCGGAGCACAGGTCTGCCTGACGCTCAGTCTCTGGGAGCAAGCGAGTGGGATTGTGTGTAAAGTGTGAGATCAGAGGCCCCTAGTGAGTTCTCCAGGAGCGCTGCCCAACAGACAATGCAAGCTGCATGAGCAATTACAATTTTTTGAGTACTCACATTTAAAAAGTTAAAAAAACAAGAAAGGTGATATTATATTTAATAATATATATCATTTAACCTAATATATAAAATTATTTCAACATATAATCAATAGAAAATTATTGAGATATTTTACATTCTTCTTATTTTTAAATTCTCACTCGAGGATATTTTTTTCCATTGAGGGGAGGGAGGAGGAGGGAAAAAAGGGAGAGAGAGAGAGAGAGAGAGAGAGAGAGAGAGAGAGAGAGGGAGAGACATCAGTTGGTTGCCTCCCACACGTGCCCTGGTCTGGGGCCAGGGATCAAACCTGTGATCCATTGGTCCATTGGTCCAAGGGCCGAATCTCTAACCACTGAGCAACTGAGCCAGGGCTACATTCTTCTTCTTTTTTTAAATATATATTAAGTCTTCAGAATCCGAAATCTGGTGTTTATTTTACACTTACAACACATCTCAATCTGGGCCAGCCACAGGTCAAGGTCTTAATAGCCACATGTGGCCAGTGGCCACTATACTGGCCAGTACAGGTCTGGAGGAAGCCCCCTGTGCTGAGTCCAGGGATTAAGCGGACACACCTGACAGTATGTGCGTAACAGCTCAAAAGGCCCTCTAGGTCCTGCCAAGCTCGTCCTGTTCCACCAAAGTGAGGTTTCCAGATACGGGAGGGGCTGCAGGAACAGAGGGACGATTTGATCGCTCTGACCAAATAAGCCTGGCTTACTTCCAAGTTCCCGCTATGCCAGGCCTGGCCCGGTCAGCAAAGGCTGATGGGTGAGTGACCAGACCTTGTTCCCTTCTGCCCACAGACCCCTGCTTGAATGGTGGCTCCTGTCAAGACCGTGTGGGCTCCTTTTCCTGCTCCTGCCTCCCAGGCTTTGCTGGCCCCCGCTGTGCCCGCGACGTGGACGAGTGTCTGAGCAGCCCCTGTGGCCCCGGCACCTGCACTGACCACGTGGCCTCCTTCACCTGCACCTGCCCCCCGGGCTATGGAGGCTTCCGCTGTGAGCAGAACCTACCCGACTGCAGCCCCAGGTGGATGGACCCTCTACTGGGAGCTCAGGGACCCTGGCATCGGGTGGGGCATGGGACCTGAGCAGGAGTGGGGCTAAGAAGGGCGGGTCCTCAGGTTGGCACCCAACTCAGGACTCTGGTGCCTGATGGGGCGGTGTGGGAAGGGGCAGGGTCATCTTAGGGATGCTGGTCCCTAAGGGGGTGAGACCAGACCAGAGTGGGGCCTCCACGTGGTTCCCCCCTTAGTGCTGAAGTACCTGGTAAATTGGGGCTAAGGGACAGGACAGGGCTGCAGCCTCTCCTGGCGGGAGGTAGGGGGTAGGGGTCCAGGTAGAGGCACTCAAGGCTAGGCAGGGCCCAGGGAGGAGGGCGGGGCCTCCAAGGGGGCGGGGCCTGACCCACCCTCGCTTTCCCTCCAGCTCCTGCTTCAATGGTGGGACCTGCTTGGACGGAGTGAACTCGTTCAGCTGTCTGTGCCGCCCTGGCTACACCGGCGCGCACTGCCAGCAGGAGGCCAGCCCCTGCCTCTCCCGGCCCTGTCTGCACGGGGGTGTCTGCACGGCCACCTACCCTGGCTTCATCTGCGCCTGTCCAGAGGGCTTCACTGGCGCTCAGTGTCAGGTGGGTGGGGTCACTGGGAGGTGGGTTTTGAGCGGAGGTGTCTGGAGGGGTGTCCTGGGGGAGGGGCCTGTATGGGATCCTGGGCAGGGGGCCTGCTGGGCACCCTGGGAGAGAAGCCTCCTCACTCCTGGGGAAGGATTATCAGGGAGGTTGTGGTGAGGGGCCTGGCAGGGACCCTGGGGGAGAATCTGGGGAGTGATTTCTGGGGGTCCCTGCGCGCTGATACTGTGGGCTTCCCTGCAGACACTGGTAGACTGGTGCAGCCTTGAGCCTTGTCAGAACGGGGGTCGCTGTGCCCAGACGGGGGCCTCTTTCTACTGCCTCTGTCCTCCGGGGTGGAGCGGCAGCCTCTGTGACATCCAAAGCCTGCCCTGCAGACAGGCGGCGGCCCAGATGGGTGAGCGGGAGCGCGTGGCTGGGGTGTGCAGCCGGGGAGGGCGTGTGTGCATGTACTTCCTGCCAGTGTGAGCCCAATGGGGCTGTGACAGCACACATGGGCGGGTGGGGGGTGCGGCTGAGTGTGACTGTGTGACATGACTAGAGGGTGTGTGTGTCTGTCCCCATAAGACCACTGGGATGACGTCTGCAGCGTCCGGCTGAGCTGGTGTGGGCAGCAAACGCGTGTGTGCCAGTGATGAGAACTGTGCAGTGTCGAGGGATGTGTGACAACCTGATGGAGGTGGTGGGACCCTGGTGACTGGTGGCAGCGGGGGTGTTCGGTGGTGCTGTGTGTGTTGCGGGCGGGCGGGGGGAGTGTGTGCCTGACACCCCTCTCTGTGCAGGGGTGCGGCTGGAGCAGCTGTGTCAGGCTGGTGGGCAGTGTGTGGACAAGGAGAGCTCCCACTACTGCGTGTGCCCAGAGGGCCGCACAGGCAGCCACTGTGAGCAAGAGGTGGACCCCTGCTTGGCCCAGCCCTGCCAGCACGGGGGCACTTGCCAAGGCTACATGGGGGGTTATGTGTGCGAGGTAAGGGGCACCCAGGGGAGGGGGGAGGGGAACTAGTCACATGTAGGTGTGTCTGGGCACACGTTTCTGTGTGTCTGTAGCCTGGTGTGGGTGTGTCTCTAGGCGAGCCTGGTTTTCTGTTTGTTTGTTTTGTTTTTTGTTAGCTCTCACCCAAGGATATTTTTTCCACTGAATTTTAAAGAAAGTGGAATGGAGGGAAGGAGGGAGGGAGGGGGGAGAGAAGGAGAGAGAGGGAAAAAGAGAGATAAACATCAATGTGCAAGAGACACATCGATTGGTTGCCTCCCGCATGCACCCCCACCTGGGCCGGGGACTGAACCTGCAACCCAAGTATGAGCCCTTGACTAGAATTGAACCCGAGACCCTTTGGTGCATGGGCCAGTGCTCTAACCATGGGGCAACACCAGCCAGGGCATCATGTCTGGGCTTTTACTTTTGTGACTGAGTATGTCTTTGTGGGTGTCACCCTGGGTAGCTCTGGGGGTGTTTCTGTCTGTCTGGGTGTGTGTCTATCTTTGGTTGGTTCCTGGACGTACCTGTGTGTCTGTGCTTGGAGTCTCTCTGGGCATGAAGGCACATGCAGGTGCCTGAGTGTGCGTTCCTGGTTGTGTGTCTTGGGTAGATCTGGGTATCTGGGTGTTTTGCTGTGTGTCTGTAGGAGTGTGTCCATCTGCACTGGGTATGTCTGGGTCCTCTGTGCCTGGGTGTGTGTATCTGCACCCTGGGCATGTCTCTGTGTTTGGGGCGACTGTGTGTGTCTTTTTGTGCTGGGATTTCTGTCTCCACTGGGAGTGTCTGTGTCCCTCGGGGCTGAGTGGGTCCCTGTCTCGCCCTCACCACAGTGTCCAGCCGGCTACGCTGGTGACAACTGTGAGGATGACGTTGATGAGTGTGCCTCGGAGCCCTGCCAGCATGGGGGCTTCTGCATTGACCTTGTGGCCCGATACCTCTGCTCCTGTCCTCCTGGGACGCTGGGTATGCCAGGGCCAGGGTTGGGGGCAGGCTGGGAGGCGGGGTCTCTGTCCGCCCCTGACTCCTCCCCTGATCTTCCTTCCCCCAGGGGTTCTCTGTGAGATTAATGAGGACGACTGTGGCCCAGGCCCGCCCCAGGACCCAGGTCCGAGGTGCTTGCACAATGGTACCTGTGTGGACCTGGTGGGCGGCTTCCGCTGTACCTGCCCCCCAGGATACACGGGCCTGCGCTGTGAGGCCGATATCAACGAGTGTCGCCCGGGCGCCTGCCACGCAGCACACACCCGGGACTGCCTGCAGGACCCCGGTGGGGGCTTCCGCTGCCTTTGCCGACCCGGCTTCGCAGGTAAGGGTGGGCCAGGGGGCTGACCTAGGCTCCGGCCTGTGTTCCCCCATCGTGGCTGATCCACGGGCTCCTGCTTGCCCAGGTCCCCGCTGTCAGACTGTCCTGTCTCCCTGCGAGTCCCAGCCCTGCCAGCATGGAGGCCAGTGCCGTCCTGGCCCAGGCTCTGGGGGTGCATTGACCTTCACCTGCCATTGTGTCGCGGTAAGCGGGGGTGGCTGGTCACATCAGGGTCTCCGGGAGGGAGTGGGACTGTGGCCTGGTGGGAGGGCGTGCCTTTGGGGAAGAGGAGGCGCAAGGGAAACGGGTCCTGGGAAATGCTGATATTACCTGGAAGTCCCTGGGCAGGTTGAGGCTGGGGCTTTGGAGGCGTGGGCTTCTTGGGGAAAGGCAAGGGGGTCTGTGCACAGTGGGGGCATTCCAGGTGGAAAGGGGGGAGAGGTTGGTACGACCTTGGGGAGACTGGGAGGCTCAAGCCGTCCCAAATCTTGACCCCATCCTCCTCCCTCTCTCCCTTTC